TACACTTGTCACTCTGGGGATGGCTAACACTGCTTTTGGCGTATGGAACTCACCAACAATTTTTGTTGACGTGTTTTAAATGCGTGTATTCTCAGGGACATAGAAGTTGTAGGTATGGCATGAATTTCATGAAAAATTTATTTCCTTGCCTTTTGTTGGTTAATATGTTCAAACCTTTGTGTTATTTTGATTTATGTTTTACTGAACCAGTATCTATGTTATCGTATTTTCAAAATTCCAAATGATGTAACATTTGAACCAGATTAATGGAAGAATATAATATTATCTGCCTTTTATGCATGACCCTCGCGGGCCTCATATGCACGCCTTGAAGTGCATTGTGCGCTATATTTGAGGGACTCTTGACTACGACCTTCAGCTTCATGTGCCCCCCACCACTGATCTAGTTGCTTACTCAGACGCAGATTGTGGCGGATGCTCAGTCTCTCATCGTTCGACCTCTGGATATTGTGTGTTTCTTGGAGATAATTTCATTTCCAGACCGTCTAAGCGACATGACGTTATTTATCGGTCCAATGCCGAGGCAGAGTATCGTGGCGTTGCTAACGTCATAGCCGAGACTTGTTGGGTCTGCAATTTACTCTGTGAGCTTTGATGTCCACTAACCAAAGCTACTATTGTATACTGCGATAACATTAGCTATGTGTACATGTCCTCGAACCCTGTTCTGCAACAACGCACCAAACACATCGATATCGACATCGATTTCGTGCGTGATCAGGTTGCTTGAGGCCTTGTCCGCATTTTTCACGTTCCCTCCTTAGCTCGGTACGCTAACATATTTACCAAAGGTCTTCCAACGCAACTTTTCAAGGATTTCAAGTCCAGTTTAAAACGTTTGGATTTTCCTACCGATAAAACTGTGAGAGATGTTAGCGGGCCATATTTGTATTATGTTGTATTATCTTAATTGTTAGTATTAGCCCATTGTATTTTATTGTTTGTATCGGTCCAATGGCCTCCTTGTATTTATACATTTTTCATCTAATGAAATTGATTTACGGGAATACACGTTTAGCAATTATTATTAAAGTACTACTTGAAAATTTTCTAAAGTGATGGATAATGACATTTATAGATAACTAGTAATTGCTATTTATAAAGGAATGAATGATAGATTGTATTTTGAGATTCGCAACTTGGAAAATAAATGATCAATTGTCTTTTGGAATGCGTAAAGTTATAGATCAATAGATAAAGTGATAAACTTTTGTTTGAGGATTACAAGTCGTAAGAAAAATGATAATCTTTTTTATTTGGTTTGATAATTGAGAGAATTGGCATATAAAGGAAAGTAACAAGATATCTTAGATAAAGGAAAAATGGGTTATTGGGTTTATGGTCACCCGATAGCTTTATGGTGTGTGATTGTGTGCATGGCATATTATTTTTAAATATTATTTTTGACCATATATTTTTAATATTTAAAATATCTTTTATTGTTTAAATTTCTTTAAAAAAAACAGAGATAGAGAGAGTAGATGGAGGACAAATGAAAGATTATGATGGTTGGTGTGTGATTATCGTCTCTTTCATGATTTCATCCATGTAAGGGTATACAAGGATTACTATACATATACCCCTATTAATCTATCCCTTAGGCTATACAATGTTGCGGTGTTATTAGTTATTACCACCGGCTTGCCGACGTGGAGCCTATTATCGGCGGCAAACCGCTCGATGATTCTTCTTTTTGCCGTCGGCAAACTTGAGCTGCATACTCGTTCACTATTGATGTTCAATAATCATTAAGAGACGACAAAACTGCACAAATGGTCCCTGTGGTTAGCTGAAAATTGTCATTTTGGTCCAAAAATGTTTGGACTAACACCAGAGGTCCAAACTTTTCATTTTGTTGCGAGTTTGGTCCAGTTTTCTATAAACTTTTTCATAATGACTATTTTGCCCTTATTTTTTTTCTTTATTATTATTTTTATTATTTAAATACTTTCTTTGATTAAAAGAAAAAAGAAAAAAGAAAATTTTTATTTTCTATTTTATTTTTATAATTTTTTATAACAAAATAAAAAAATAAAAATGAAATATCTCTCTCTCTCTCTCTCTCTCTCTCTCTCTCATTTCCAACACCACACACTACCCTTATACCTCCCTTCCATCCTTTTTCTGGTCCATTTTCTTCCAAGAAACACAAAGGAAAACGTGGCAGCCACCACTCGTCGCCCCACTGCCACCTTCTGCTATCGTGTACGACCACTTCACAACCCTTTATCCCTCATTCTTCCGGTGACACAACAGCCCCCAAGCAACCCTCCAACCTGCTGCCTTACCTCTTCCCTCTTCCCCTCCGATGACCACTGCCGACATAAGCAAAAAGGAAGCAGCCGCTAGGCTGCCGGGCAGCCTCCTGCCACCGTAGAGATGGTCTTGGTCACCACCATCGACCACCTCTGTTATGCTGCTGCTGCTACTACGTAAGTCCCCATTGCCATTTTTTGTGTGAATTGCAAAGGGCCAAACCGAGGAAGCAAATGACCTGTCATTTTTTTTCTTTCATCATCTTCACCGGAGAGGTGTTCAGTGGCGATGATAGCGAATAAGGGCATGTTGTAGGTACGCTATCATTGTTGCTCCAATTGAGGGTTTTCGAGCCCTAATCACACCTAAATCAAAGTTTCGGGGCAAGCTTCAATATCTGGTAAAATCACACCGCAAAGAGAGGGTAATTTGAACCCTAGAATGTAGAATGCTTTAATTGAGAAAGATGGAGGGCGCATTGCTTCTATTGTTCGTTGAATATAGCCCTAAACCCTAAAGATTCTTGCAGTAGGAGTGGAATTGGAGAAAATCAAAAGAACAGAAGCTGGAGATGGTGGCTGTGACTGGTAATGGTGTTTGCACGGTGGCCACATAGTCGGTGGTTTTTAGTGGAAGGTGATGGCAGGTTAACGCTGGAAACGGAGGCAACAAGTGGAAGGCAGCAGCGACGTTGGGGTGTTTGATGGCAATGGGTCACGACAGGGGGAGGGCGGAGTGGGCTGAGAACTACGGTGGCAGCCGGTGGTGCTCGTTCCGGCGACTCCAGCAGGGAGTGACGGAGGGAGCATTTTGGGCCGGTGTCAAAACCATCGATACCCTTCCTTGTAGTGAAACTGGAACGAAAATAGATCTATGAATCGAGAGAGAGAGAGAGAGATTCTTTTTATTTTTCTTTAAATCAGTAAAAACATTTAAATAGAAAAAAAAATAGAAAAAGAAAGTACAAGGGTAAATCCGTCATTTTAAATATTTCTAAAACAAATTGGACTAAAATCGCAATAAAATGAAAACTTTGAACCTGTGGTGCTAGTCAAAACTTTTTTGGACCAAAGTGGCAATTTTGAGCAAACCACAGGGACCATTTGTACAGTTTAGTCTTAAGAGACAGTTAAGAGACAACAGAAGAGACATAGAGCACATGAAGTTGCATTATAGGTTTGTATTTTTGTGCATTGGGAAAATACACAAGTGATAGTAAATGGTTATGGTTTGGAAAGGTAGGTAAGGAGGGCAACTCAACTCATTCATATGCAAATATTGATAAAAATGTCAAATGCTTATATGATGTCTATATAATACCAAATTTTGATAGGCAAAAAACATCTCCAAATCCGTTTATCTTATTTACCCGTCATTTCCTAAGCTATTAAATTTATTAATTATATATCATATAAATATTGTTTAATATATATGTTCTTTTGGTTTTGATAAGTGAGTCGAGAAAAATTTTAACTGTTAAATCACGAATTATTGTACATAAAGCTTTTGTGGTTTAAGATTAATTAAATTGAAAAACTAGAAATTAAATTTTGTTCCCGTTGAAATCAAACAAACCCCAACTCGTTCTACAATCTACACAAGTTCTTATTTCTATTAAACTATATTCTCTGAAATTACAAATTTGACACCTTAAGTTTCCCAATTACAAATTTTACCCCTTAAGTTTCCAAAATTCATCATCTGATTAATTTTAATTAATGTACTTTCGTTTAAATTTTCCTTTATGATATTTAATCCTTATATTATATTAATTTCAATTATACTTCTATCAAGCCTTCTCATAATAGTTTTCTCCTTCAATTGAAGATAATACCCTATTTAGTAATATTTTAAATATGAAAAACAACACTTAAACGTCTAATCCCAATTTACAAGCGTTATTCGGGTTAACACAACTAGAGTAGTAAACCTCCTATAATAGCTCACCTTGGGAAACTCCAACTATTGGTTGGACTTTTTGGTATTTCTCATTTCTTTAGAACTTTGATCTTTGTTAGATCAACTCCGATCCCTTATTTAGTCGCTACACGATCCAAGGATTTCACCTCACAGAGTCACATGTCCATTACTTGTGTTAAAAGAATTTTCACATGTCCATTACTTGTGTTAAAAGAATTTTCACATGTCCATTACTTGTGTTAAAAGAATTTTCCATGTAACATCTGTTGATTCAACATCAAACATATTTGCTCTTATTATCCTCCACACTATTAAAATAGAACGTAATGCCCTCAATGAATACAATCACAAAACAATCAATTAATGATTCAAATACTAGTTCGTGATATTCATGAATATCGTTGGCATGTTGGTTAACCCAAAGGGAATTGGAAGGAACTTGTAATAGCATGTCTTATTGGTAGAAAGAAATTGAGTTTGAAGATGAGAGAACAAGTTGTAAGAAATTATGACTTGAAGATGGTAGAACAAGATTGAAAGAAATTGTAATTATATTTAAACCAGGCTCCTAAATCTTATATCTGAAATTTAAAATAAAACAGAATTTTTTAAAATATTTGTGAAACCTAAATAACAAAATACGTCTTATGAAATTAGAAAATTTGCAAACAATTGTGAATTTATTTTCATAAAAAAGAATAATATCACGAAATAAAATCATTTTCGTTAACCAGTTTTGCAAAAATATCTAGAAAAGTATTTAACAAATTAAAATGTGATATTTCATAACCTTTTCGTGATTAACCCTTTTCCAAAAACGCGTGTCAAATTTGTTTCTATTCAATACGTCAACCCCCACCTTACCTACATTCTTTTAAAGACTCCGACATTGCTGGCATCTTCATCATTCTTCAACGAAATCGTTTACTTTTAAACTTTATCTCCGGCGAAGATTGCGTTTTCCCGTCGATCTCCCCAGTAGCTATTGAAATATCTCGGCGTAACCTCGATTTAGTCGATCTCAACTCTATACACGAAGATGAATCCCGAATAGTATGTTCTTTCTCCTAGTCAAACCGCAGATATTCTGATTGTTAACTCAATTTCCGCTTTTCCGACTTGTATCTGATGTGATTCTTCTAGATCTATGTTTATTGAATTGGTTTTTTAAGATTCTCAGTTTATTCTTTGATTAGTCGTGTACTTATGGATTGTGACGAGTTAGGGTTGTATTATTGTCCTAAATTGGGGATTTTTAGATCAAATTAAATCGTTTTTCGTACGATCTATTTAGTAATTTCGCGCAAGGTCCATTGAATAATTGAAATCGGTATATCTTATTAGATATTCTAGGAAGCTTCGTTTCCTGTATTCTGAATTTTCTCCGGAGTTTTAATTTTGAAGTATGAATTTTGATATTTGGAGTAGTTAGTTATAGCTGAGATTCCCTTTCGACTGTTTTTCGATGGTTGAATAGGATTTTAGCAGTTCATGAATTCGTAGAGTTGTAACTTGTAAGCTTATGTGATTGTTTTAAACTTGTAGATCTTACATCAAAATATGTAAGATCGATATGATAATATACTTGCATGTCTTCTTGCTATAACTAAGGGCAAAAGTCAAAATTAATAGTTCCCTTCCTCCTGTAGTGACTACCTCTTCAAGCTTCTACTCATTGGAGATTCAGGAGTTGGAAAATCATGTCTCCTATTGCGATTTGCTGTAAGTTCTTCATTGTTCTTTTTCTTATAGTCATAATTCCGCCCCATTTATTTTTCAACTTATTTATACACTTTTTGTACTCCAGGATGATTCATACTTGGAAAGTTACATCAGCACCATTGGTGTAGACTTTGTAAGTAATTATTTATCAAGTTTTCATTTCGACATGATTACATTTTGATAAAAGTAATTTTTTTGACAACTTATGATGTCTTTTCCACAGAAAATCCGCACAGTAGAACAAGATGGCAAAACAATTAAGCTCCAAATTGTAAGTTTTTATTCATCCATTGTCAAAACATGTTCCCTTTTTCTTCTAGAAATTTACATATTCTCCCATTATCCTGTATACAGTGGGACACTGCTGGACAAGAACGTTTCAGAACAATCACCAGCAGCTACTATCGTGGAGCCCATGGCATTATTGTAAATAACTCATTATAAAAATCAATCTTGCTATGATATTTTTAAAGAAAATTGAAATTTTAAATTTTAAAACACTTATTTTTTCCTTGCAGGTTGTTTATGATGTGACAGATCAAGAGAGTTTCAACAATGTAAAACAATGGTTGAGTGAAATTGATCGTTATGCTAGTGAGAATGTCAACAAGCTTCTTGTTGGAAACAAATGTGATCTCACTTCTCAGAAAGTCGTGTCTTATGAAACTGGAAAGGTAATAAAATAATGTTAATTATTTTTTTAAATAGTTTAAGTGAATGAAAATTACTAAAGAGAGTTAATTGTGTAAAGGCATTTGCTGATGAGATTGGGATTCCATTCCTTGAAACAAGTGCCAAAAGCTCCACCAATGTGGAAGAAGCTTTTATGGCTATGACTGCTGAAATTAAAAACAGGTTTCATTTATATTATTTCACATTTTCTTTATAATCATAAAAGTAAAAAATAATAAGAGTAAAGTAGGTTGCTATTTCTTACTGATAAAATTTGGTGAATTGTATCCAGGATGGCAAGTCAACCGTCAATGAACAATGCTAGACCTCCTACTGTTCAGATCCGAGGTCAACCGGTCAACCAGAAGTCAGGATGTTGCTCTTCTTGAAGGTCTTGAATCTTGATCATGGTTTTATTCTTTTCGAATTAAAAAAAAAAAAAACAAATGAATTCAGGGAACTTGATGTACAAAGTAGGATAACACTTTGTTGAATGCCTGTTATTATTTTTATTGTTATGTTATACTGTTTGCATTTTGGCAAAAGTTTTAGCTACTTTTTTGTTTCCTTTGTATTTTAACAATATCCTGTGTGTTTAATGTTTTTTTTTGTTATAACTGAATAAGGATGACCTTATTCTGACAGTTGATTTTTCAATATTTTGGGTAAACCGAATAAGTGATTAGATTACTATATCATTTTTGTGTCTATTTATATAGCTGATGGGATTTACTTTGCAGTTGTGTAAGTTGTGTAAGTTGTCTAAAGTTAAAACATGTGTCAAAATTTGTACTTTGTAAGCTTTCTAATGTCAAAGATGTGTTTTTAATGGGAAAAATCCAACATAGTATACATCAAGGGAAAATGACATAAAAGCCCTTAAGTTTTCACAAAAATGTCGGTTTTATCCTTGGACGTGTTTTATGTCCAGTAAAGCCCGAAGTTTTGTTTAATTTGTTCATTTTTACCCTTGTAGCCAGTTTCCAGGTAACCTACCGGTTACCTAGGTTACCTAATGCTAGTAAAGCCCTTGAATTTTTAAAAATGTTCGGATTTACCCTTAAGTTTTTCAAAAATGTTCGGATTTACCCTTACCTTGATTGTTATTTTGATTATTATTATTATTATTATTATTATTATTATTATTATTATTAATTGTATAAAAATATTTTTTACATACATTTTTAAATGAATAAAAAATTTTCATACGTTTTTAATACATTTTTATACATATTATTATTATTATTATTATTATTATTATTATTTTTAATAGATTTTTAAATGTATAAAAATATTTTATACACATTTTTAAAAATGTATTTATTTGTATTTAAGTAGGTATAAGTATAAATATATATTTATTTCATATAAAAATATATTATATACATATAAATATAAAAATACATATTTATATGGTTTATATTATATAAAAGATATAATTATATGTATTTGTACCTACTAAATAGATAAAAATACCTACTATATGATTTTTAAATGTATAAAAATATGTATTTATTATCAAACATCATACTAAATAGATAAGCAAAATAAATATTCGTTAATTAAAAACATAACGTAACAATTATAAAACCCTTGTAATTAGAAAAACCTCAATAAAAACACTCGATTACAGATAAGATTTAGTATAAAATTTGAAAAAACCTCTATTATTCAACTATATTAGGTTAATAGTGAGTAGATAACAATAAATGATCAACAAATAACACTCGTAAATGGAAAATACATAATATAATTAAAAAACTCTCGACAAAAACACTTGATCACTGTAAAAATTAAGTATTATCAACTTAAAATCATTCATTAACTATTTTTATCTCAAAAATTGATAACGAAATGTCAAATACAGAGTGTAAACTTCATTTATGTTTGTTGTAAGTTCACAAAAAAAATCACGAAATGCATCATTTTTTATATTGATCTGAAGCATTTGTTTTTGCAAAATCAGTCATTGACGACATTTTTTACTTTATCAAGCTTTTTCTGTTCGATTCAACAATTATAGATGAAGATTTAGGGTTTTCAAATGTATATAAATACTAAATACAAGTACATATATTTTTAAAAATATATTTATATTAGTAAAAATATTTTTATACATTTAAAAATGTATGTATAAAATATTTTTATATAATTAAAAATGTGATAATAATAATAATAATAATAATAACAACACTTACTTAAGGGTAAATCTGAACATTTTTGAAAATTAAGGGTAAATCCGGTAGGTTACATTAGGTAACCGGTAGGTTACAAAAGTAAAAATGAACAAATTAAACAAAACTTCGGGCTTTACTGGACATAAAACACGTCCAAAGGTAAAACCACATTTTTGTGAAAACTTAAGGGCTTTTATGTCATTTTCCCATACATCAATGGCAAGAAAAATATGTATATTATTTTTGCGTCCGTTTGAAACTGTTGTAATTAATTAAAAAAACATTGCAATTCAAGGACATGAAACAAACAAAATGGAACCTATTATAATTGAATGTCTCTCTGGATTCTTATTGTTCCATGAAGTCCATATCTTTGTGTGTTCACCACGTCCACACAATCGGTTTCTTTAAAAATCAATTGTATGACGATTATAACTTGAAAAAAAGAAGTCGATGCAAAAGATTGAGATCCGTTTCAGAAGATGGAGAAAAGGTCATGTAAAAGTTGACGATCTATTCTTTATTTCACAAAGATAGTGACTTGTATTTTTTCCATATTAATCTGATACGTAGTATTATTAAATAAATCAGAAATGCTTGATACATAATAGTATAAGGGTTTAAATAGACATACAAAAATAAATTTTGTTTTTTTGTTGAGCATTTACACATAATAAATTAGGGTTTTCTAAAATTTTCTCGTATAACATTAGACCCAAAAGACCTAACCGGTCAACATAAGTTTACCGGTCACAACACATAATTCTAAACAAAAACATATATTTCCTAATTTTAATAGACACAAAAGTAATATAACAATTTATATTGCATTTAGGTAACAATAGGTTGGAGTTTTATGGAGTTCTCTTTTAATATTTTGCTTATTCAGATTAACTTCACATGCTATTTATACAGGGAAAAATTCTAACATTGGAATTTGATGTATATTTTGATCAATTCCACATCCTAGATTAATTCCACGGTTTTTGGTTATAAAACTTTAAGATGTTATACGATACTTGCTTAAACAATGTTAAACAAAAATAATAATAACTAGATTTCCAAACACAAAACGAAAGCATACCAAAAAAAGAGACCATTGACTATAAATTAAGATGGTTGATGAGTCATAACTGAAAGAAAACCCAAGGGCATGTAGCAGCCATACAAAGGTTATCTTCAAGATTTACACTCTGACAAAAACACCATAATATGATATCCTTAAAACAAGTCTTAAATACCACCAAACATCAAAGATTACCACTAATCAAAAACCCTAACAATAAAAAGATGAAGTAAATAATAACTCTCAACTCACTTGACACTCAAAGATGGAAATTGAGCCACATCCTCAATCGATGGTGCAACCACATTGTTCATCCGGGCCCCACCTACATACCCTCCTCTAAACCCACCACGCCCACCACCACCACGTCCCCTGCCACCACGTCCATTGACCCTTTCGCCCTCAGCAGGTTTCAGAAACTCCTCAATGCTTACAGACTACAAAATTAAACAAACAGACAAACTTCAACAACTATATGTCTTAACACAAGGTGTATGTATAGATTTTACATATTGTATACATAAAGATGTTCACAAAGTTAACTACTCACCTTCTTGGCCTTTTCTTCCTTATCAGCAGCTTCTTTTCGTTTATCTTTCTCAGAACCCTAATCAGAAAATAGAATTAAAACTATATATATATATATATATATATATATATATATATATATATATATATGAAAAATGTATGAATATATACATAACACACTCATAGTTAAATGAAAGATTTACCAGTTTAACAAAGATGTCTTCTTCATTCTTTTTGTTGGAAAGCAATTGCATTTTTGCCAAATCTTTGTCCAAACCAACCTTTCTTTCCTCAGTCTTCAAAGAGGTCAATGCCTTCCTCTTCTCTTCTAGAACTTTCTCATATTCCTCAAGGGTCATCTCCTGTAATTAAAGATCTAGAAGATGACAACAAAATATGGGAATATCTCAAGTTAGGGTAAACAAGGGTGGAAAAGTAATTTCACCTTCTCTTCTGGCTTCTTTTCCTCTACCACATCCACAGTGTTCTCCTGGTTGGCATCGGCTCCATTTTCTTGTTTCTCAGAATCCACAATCTTTTCAGTTTCAGTAACAGGTTCTTCAGTCTCACTACATCATAAAGAATCAAAGAAAGATTAATAAAGGTTTTGTAGGTTTGCTCTACAGAAAAAGAAGGTAGGATTTGTGTACTTACGGCGCAACCTCATCGGTGGCGGTTCCCCAGTTGCCACGACCTGCACCTTCACGCTTGAACTCATTTCTACAGAAAGAAACCGATGAATCAGATGAATAAACGGACTATGGAGTTGAGTTTAAGATGTAGAGAAGTACTAACCCTCGGCCGGTTCCACTGCGGCGTTCGAAAACCCTTCTCGGGCGTTCACCTTCTGTGGCGTCTCCGTTGGTGTAGCCGCCGCGACGTCCGCCGCGGCTTCCAAAACGGGGTGCACGTCTTTCGGTGGCCTTATCAGAGTCGCCATTCTCCGAAGCTCTGTAGCCGCCGGAAAACCCATTGTTGTTGCCATAGGAATTATCATCGTCGGCTGATTCACGATTAAAACCACCACGTCCGCCTCTGCCTGTTCCACGGCCATAAAAACGGCTTCCTCCACGTTGACCATCAGTCCTCGCCTCTCGCACTGTAAGTGAAATCGAAATGTATACTCGGTTAAAATGCACAAAATCAAATCAATACATTGTATAAATGGGGATATCTACGCACATTCATCGCATAAAGTGGAAAAACATTACTAATCATCCAGATCAATCGGTTTAATTATCTAATTAGCATCACAACTCTAAGAAATTATACAGAACGGAAGCAATAAAACGTACCAGCCTGGGCAGGAGGAAGCGGCTTGGAAGGAAGCTTGGCTGCTGGCTTAGCAGCCACAGCACCAACCGGAGATTTCTTGGTTGTTGGAACAGCCACCGGAAGCTTAGCTAGAAGCTGAATGGGGTCATCGTTATCATCATCGACCAAAAGATCGAAAGGGTTGGTTGATGACATTTTTTTCGACCGAAAAACGAAAAAACTCGAACTTTCCGATTAAGAATTGAGTGCGAATGAATAATGAAAATCCCTATAAGCTGTGTATCGTGACCATGAATCGATTCAATCAGACGTTACAGAAGAAGCGAGAGAGATGTGTGCAAAATGGGAGGGAAAAAGAAGTGGGGATGCGGTAGAAAAACCCTACCAAGGCGGCATGTAATGTCAATATGGCTTAAACCTAATCTTCAAAGCCCATTGGTGTTTTGTTCTGGTGTGGCTGGGGTTCAGCGTAGTGTTGTGTGTACCTTAGTTAAAATAAATAAATATAAATAAATAAATAATAAAAACAATGTTTATCATAATGAAAATCTCCAGAAAAGTCCTAAAATTTTACCCTAATTTACGAAAAAGTCACAAACTAAATTTTGTTTACGAAAAAACATGAATTACC